GGGGGGGGGGGGGGGGGGGGGGGGGGGGGGGGGGGGGGGGGGGGGGGGGGGGGGGGGGGGGGGGGGGGGGGGGGGGAGGGTTTGCATGAATTTGAGATGGCCATCATTAATTTTCTTTTTTTAGCCGTCAAAACGAAGAGATTGATGTCTTACAAAATATGCCTTCACGAACGTGCACACAGGACATATATTTTGTTATGTATGCCCCCTGACTACACTGTAATGATTAGCAACCATACATGTGTCTTTTCTATTTGCTTTTTTATGAACATGCTTGATCCTATCTTTAAAACAATGAAATCAATACCACCTTAATTTTTTTTTCTCCCATGTTAAATACATTGTACTTTTTTAAAATTCAAGAGATTCAGATGGAGGTAGCATCTGGGGGGGGGGGGGGGAGCCCTAGTGGTGGTTTAAAGTTGACAAAACCCTATCATGTTACAATTTTCTGAAAGCTCTCGTCACAATGAAAACACCTGTATAAACCAAGCTTTGTGAAACTTCTTCATTTTAGAGTACAAAAATTTTGCTGATTTTGAACTCTTGACTTCTTCCAGTGTCTCCTCAAAATTTTAGGGAACTTGAAACTTTAGGAAGAGATGGGACAAAGGCTTGTAATTTAATGTGACAAGTCTCAAAGGCATGAATCACCAGCAAAAATTGACCCATTTCACACGTACTCTTTTCCTTTTCTAGTGAATGCTATAGTTTTGATCTTAGAATCTTACTCTACTGCTACTACCATTCAATGCATTTAAACTTGTATTCAGGGCAAAACCTGTGACAGATCACAAAGCTTAAAGGACTGTCTTTTGATTTAAGAAAAGAAAAAGAAAAATTTCTTGGTACTTCACTTACGATACAGTCATCACTATTATGAGTTCTTGAAAAAGGATAGAAAGCACCTAGTTGTAACCATCGCTGACAAAGATCGGCTGTCGTGTTACCATTGAAGCCGCAAATATCTGCTCCAACCATTGGGATGCCAAATAAGTTGAAACTCATTATATCTGTAAAAGCAAAGGCAAATTTTAACAGCATCAACTCTGTAACCAAAACAAGGTTTCCTTCAAGAGAGAATCATCAATGCCCGGTGCTAAGGAGGTGACACGAATGACATAACAGGGTTATAATATCGTAATGTCTCCAGGTTCCTCAAGCTTTTTCATTAAGTTGAGACTGGAAATATCGATTCCAAATTGATCTGATAAAATCAGACTGTCACGAATCACCCTTGTTGCGATGTTGTGATGCAAGATATAAGAACGTGCCGATATGTAACATGGACCTTATCATTGGGCCTTGATAAAATACCTTTAACAAAATTTTCATAATAGGGTTTATTGAGTTTCCTATGTTTCTTGTATGAGCGTACCCCAATACGTAAGTTTCGCTTTTTAGCTCCTCCGAAAATACAGAGGAGCCCAGACTTACCGTACTGGGCCTTTTTCACTTGTTTTAGGTAAGACGAAGTGCAGCACTGTGGAGGCAAATAAGGAATCAACCCTAAGGTATCCAAAATTTCATGCTCCTGGAGCTCTTCCCCTGCGCCTTTTCCAAAAGTCGGGGTTTAAGGAAGAATTTTTGAGTCATTTAATCGGTGTAATGGAGTGGGTCTTCTTTCGGTTATTATGACGTTGACGTAAAAGTCTAAAGCAGCTTCATCTTTCATAGTTAAAGTCATCATTTTCCGATTTACTCTCTCCTAACTTTTTTTCCAATCCTATAAATTGTGTCTCTGTCCAAATTAAACAAGGTAATTTACAGAATTAAAATTCCGCTCTTTTATTCCGAGAATCTAAATTCCTTAAAAACTTCATTCACTACCGAAGCCCGGGAAAGTTGAAAATATTGTACAGGTGCTCAACGTTTAACTTCGGACGACCTATCACGTCCCTCCTCTTCCTTCCCTGCTCGGCGCATTTTCAACGGATCCCCCTCTGAACGTATCAAAAAGGGGCAGTCCATCGACTGGTCAAAATCTATGCTCTCCCAGAATCTCAAATCGTCAAAATTGGTGAAGTTGCTCCAAGCCTGTCCTTATTTTTCTTTTCTTGGTAGTAGTAAAAATTCATAACCTAAAAGATTCTGAGAGCAACGTTATTTGACGGTGATTTGGGGTTATGTCTTGTTGTTGATATCATCTGTTCGCCTCCTTCGCCAACACTGTAACCCTCTTACTCATTGGGAACTGTGAATCAATAATCAAGTAACAATTATGCAATCTGAATTTAATCTCGGAGTGGAGAGTCAAAGTGAAACTCATTTACCGAGAAAAAGTTTTGATACTGTTTATTTTCGCAAAGCTACACTATTGCATGCCAGTGGTCCCTTTAAAAGGTCCTCTTCTTGTCCTCTTTCCATTCACTCATCTCATTCATCTAGAAACTCGTTCACCATTCCTCCCGAAATTACAAATAATCCTTTACTTAAAAAGCGACAAATGCTGATACATTTGAAGGATCGAAAAACCATTACAAGAGGTAACAACCGATAATAAGAGGGAGTTTGATTGGTCCATTGGAAGGTTGAAAAAATTTCAAGACAAAATTGTCACGAATGTGGACCATCTGGAAGAAGAGGTAATTTGGCAGGGGAAGTTAGATGACTTGATTGAGGAAGCTCAGAAACTTTATTTACCTGTGAAGCATGCAGCAGCTTCTGTTATCAGTTCTTTCAGAAATTCTCCGAGACCTTCGGTAAATCTGCATTCTCATTTTAAATTACCAAAAATCGAATCACCAAAATTCAACGGTAAAAGTCTATCTGATTGGTCTGTTTTTTGTGGTTCATTTGAGGAAACGATCCATAATGCGACTGTGCTGACAAAACAGGAAGAGTAGTAAAGCAAACACAATTTGAAGGTGATCTGGTACCGAGTGATTGCATACTTCTGACATTTTCTGACGCATTTAACAGCCCTGGTGGCCACAAATGGCAAAATGCTATGAACGACGAAATACATTCATTGATTGAGAATAATGTGTTCAAATTAGTGGACGAGAAGGAAGCAGAGGGAAAGAAAATACTGTCTAATACTTGGGTACCTATTTAGAGTTAAGGACAATGGTCAATATAAAGCCCGCTTATATGCTGAAGGAAAAGAACAAAAAGAAAATTGACTTTAATTATGAAGAAATTTTTAGTCAAGTGACGAATGAAAGTTCAATAAAAACTATGTTGGCTTCGGCTCCAGAATTTAAGTACAAGTTCTTACAATTTGATGTAAAATGTGCTTTTCTGTATTGAAATCTTCATCATAACGTTTTTATGAAAATACCTGAAGGTTTTAAAAAGTATACGAATAAAATATTTAAACTGCTGAAGGCCGTCTATGACTTGAAGATATTGCCGTTACAATGGTTTAAAAGAATGACTGATCTTCTTGAAAAATGTGGGTTAAAACAATTAAAATCCTAAAGATGTGTTTTTAAAAATGCAACAGGTACACTATGATGGCCTTGTTGGTAGTGTACGAAACTCACAGGCGCCAACGCGCCGGATGCGCCTAAGAAATCAGTCATGGCACTTAAAAATGAAGGCTCTGCACCAACATGGACCCTAAAAATTGTCCCATCCCCTCATAAAAGAATCCAAATTTTTCTGTTTGGTGATTTTGTGACGAATGGATGGTGATAGTGACAACTGTCACCCCATTCGCACCAAACTGAAACTGGTAAGTTCGTCGGAGAGTGAAAGCTCGAGCTTAAAGCTCCAGGGTGCACTCCCCGATGAACTTACTTGTAGGAATCAGCTGTGAAGCGCCTTGGAGAGGGAAAGCGTCCGGCGGTCGGGATGTCACTCGGGTGGTCCAGCTACAGATCACGCGCGACATGGTGACATCATGTCGCGGATATGTGATCGCTAACATGCGAGGGACAGACCGATCACCCATAAGGACCAGTGATCTGAGAGAGACAGCGTCCTATGGCCATATGATGCCGAATCCAGCTGCTCATCTGCGGGTTGCCGGAGGGGGCACTGAAATCGCTGTTGTTTCACTAACATCATCGGACCCGGCGATTTCGGGTCTCCAAATCCGGCAGCCTGCATGTGATGTTCCAGGGATATGTGATTTGGTGTCTTATGACCAGAGCCAAAAACGCTGGCTTCGGCTGTTTTCTTGGAGTTTTCGCGTGGGAACCCACGCCATCTCCCCTCCATCCGAGGTTTGATGAAAACTCCGGAAAATGGGTAAAGTCAGTCTCTCTCAGGTCTCAGCTAAGGACGGTTAGCTAAAAGCACCCACACCCTATACTGTACCGAAGTTAGCCTCCCGGCCCCCAGAGTCAGTCTAGCCATTGAGCAGATTTCGCTGCCGCGTCGGTAAATCAGTCTTCCCGCTCGAGCAATTTGCCGTTCGGAACCCCGGAGCAATTCGCCCGCCAACTTGTACCCTTGTACAACCTGCCCTTGTTGCTGTGGACAAATAAACCTTGGTCTTCATACATCTGGTCTCTTCATTTATTTCACGAGGTAAATTACCATTGTCTGTACGTACGCTCTACCATCTGAGCTTGATAGGGACTCAGCATTCACCATCCCTATCTGGTGGCGCCCCCAAAAGTCATCATCCTGTCAGCACCGTGCGGGGGCTGATAGTGTGATTGTCATTCAGCGGTTGGGTTGTGAGAGTAGCCCACCTCGCCTTGCTCTGCAAACCCCCCATAGTAGTTTTAGCCCCGCTCCAATTTTTTGAAATTTCAAGGCCAGAACCAAATTCTAAATTTTCAATAAATGCGCCGTGATGTACAGGCAAAATGTCAATTTGGCACCTAAAAAATATTCAATGGCCCCTAAAAATCGAGCTTAATGGGCCAAATGGCTCCTGAAACTCAAAGGTGAGTTTCGAGCATTGCTTGTAGTGTACAAAAATGAGCAAGAGAAAATTCAACTAATGCAATCCATGCAGAGAGAGTTTACGCTAAAAGATGAATTAAATCCCACGAGTTACTTAAACATTAAAATAAAGACAGGGTGTGACTCAATAAAATTATCGCAAGAAGCCTGTATCAACTCTGTCATAGATTCCTTTAACATGAGTGAAGCAAAAACTGTGGCGACACTTAAGGAGCCCGGACAAATGGTAGAAAGATTCGAAATATCATTGATAATTTTCCATTAGGTAGGCCGTTGGTAGTTTGCTCTATTTAAGTGATAAGACGAGCCCTGATATTTCTTTCTCAGCAAGTTATGCCAGCCACCACATGGAGAAACCCGAGAAAAGCGATATTGACGTTGTGAAAAGAGATGAAACATTTGAAAGGTACAGCTAAAGATGGTATTTGTTTTAATTAGGTCAAATATGAATAAAACAGAGATAACACTCTCAGCTTACAGTGATGTCAGCTACGCAGACAATTTAGGAACAAGGCGCAGTACATCAGGATTTGTGGTATTTTTAAACAAAAATCCTGTTACCTGGGCTTCTCAAAGACAACCCATATTTGCCACATCATGAACAGAAAGTAATTATATTGCTTCGGCAGATTGCTTGAAAAATGTATTCTTTTTTAGGACTTCTGCTGAAGAATTGACAGGTTAAAATATAAAATGCGTATTGAAATAAGACAAGCAAGGAACCATCAAAGTTGTCAAAAAAGGGCAATTCAATACACATAGACGTAAGATATCATTTTGATGATGAGAAGTTTACAGAGAAAATTAATGATACTATATACGGTCCAACCAATCAGCAAGTTGCTGATGTGCTCAATTTTTTTTTTTTTTTTTCCCAAAGATATGATTTATTGTTAGCTTCCAATTCAGAAATATGAACAATTAATTTAAATTATAGGTATTGTATAGAAAAAGTAACAACATGATAGTTACTTATTATAATAAATTAAAAGTAGAAAAAAAGTACATCCACTGTAAAGAGAAACTGTAAGATTAATGGATGATTAATTTAAGGTGATAACATACCAATTTTTTGCTGCACTAATGTGCTTAGAGTGGATAAAAGATTCAAAATTTGTTCGGCTTGAACCGTGACGAGTCGCTCTAAGGTGCTTAGGCACTTATCAAGTTCATGATAAGTCTTATTAGCGTTATTACTTGTCTGTTTATTAGTTTTATTATGAGAGTTACCTCTCACTGCATTTGCACAACTGGCTGCATTTTTTTGACTATTTACAACGTTTGTAAGATTAGTGGGAGGAACCACTTTATGGTTGACGAACTTGGAGAGTCTTTTTTTTCTTAATGTCTTTATAAACTTTACAGCCCTTACAGTTTCCGAAATGTTGACTGCCACAAAGGGTGCAGGTGGGAACAAGGGGTGTATTGTTTTCAAGAAATTCTTTTTTGCGGGTGCATTGATCTGAGGCGTGAAATTCGCCGCAGATCACGCACCTCGGCTGTCTAAAGCAGTATCTTTTTGTGTGCCTGTATGACATGCAGTTATGACACTGGGCTATAATTTTATTCTTTACAGGATACTCAATTTAAATAATTAAATTATCAATAGAATTGATTTTCTCAAGCTTTTTTGCAACATTTAAGGTCGCATTAGCTTCGAATAAAAATAGTGGCATTGGAGCCTTGGTAGAAATGCCTTATCTGAGTAACTGATGTTACTGATAGGCCTTGCGAGACTAGTGAGGACTTACTGTCTTCAATTGAGAAATCGATAGGGAGGCCTCTAATCATTCATTTGATAATATTGTTTTCTCTGTATTGAAACGTATGGAAACTAATCTTTTCAGATTTGAAGTGATTTAATAGAGTATTAAACTCCTCTTGGTTTTTAACTACGATCTTCACTTGAGCTTTGTTAATAATCTGCATTTTTGAATCCTGTACTAAAGGATCAACAACGATTTTTTTTTAAAAAAAGAGATTTCCCTACTCCAGAAAAAAAGAGGGGAGGAGAGGGGGGGGGTTGACTACCTATTTATCCCGTTTTTCTGTATCTAGTACACTAAAATTATTACTATCACTATTAACAGTTTGTGCTTTGACACCTCAAGATTGAGAAAAAACAATTTCTTTTATTCCTTTCTTATTTATAGTTTTTACTTGAGAGTTCTTAGAGCTAACATTAATCTTTCTTTCACTATGCACTACAGTCCAATCACTATTTTTGTCGGCGTTCTTGTCAGAATTGCTGAGGCTCATCTTCGATACAGATGTTGTAGTTTCTTCCATAGGTTCTGAGGTTGTGGTTGTAGAAGGAGGGCTGGTGCCCAGTACCTTTTTGATTACAGTTAACTTGTAATTCTCGTAGGCTTTTTCATCTCTGTCATCTGATAGATGATCGACAGGAAAATCAGATCCTCCCTTCAGTGGTATACAAGTAGAGTCCGATGAATGCAATTGCACACATTGGGAGCACATTGAAAATTTAGTCCAAATAATGGCGTGAGTACATTGACAATTGTCAATATTGTTTGTGCAAGTTTTACACTGAAGAACAAAATTCCTGTGTACAGTTGTACACACAGAAATCTGTAGGCGTATACAAGACTACGCTGAGGGTGGTTAGACTTGTGGGTATAATAGAAAGGCATTCTTAAAGTTTATATACACAGATTAAACTAAGTAATATTTAAAATGAGAAAGTTCCAAGTCCAGAAAAGTGTCAGGGCAAAGCCCCACAACGCAGCGAGTATACTCACATCGCTGCTAAGCAGCCAAACAACACTTTAGATTTGTTGCACAGCTAAGGGAGCTCAATAGACTGTGCGTCTGCACTGGACAAAGGTTGATAACGAACGCTCACTAAGCCCTTATCCATGCAAAAATTTACAGGATTTACAAATATGATTCTTAAATAATAAGTGTAAGATGGCATGTCCAGATCATGGCGGAATGTTGAGTTATCATAAGTGCTAATGTAAATTTATCTCGACAACCATGTAAAGTTTGCCAAGATTATGCGGGATGTGTTGAATGATATGATTAAGAATATATTACTATTGGCAACCATGTAAAGATGATGACTAACAATAAGACCAAGAGTGTCACATGTATTTACATAAGAAAAAAATTCCTCTCCCAGGACTGTGCTTGCCCAAGGTCGATCCCTGACCAGTCAACGCTAAACCCTCTATCCAGTATCATTTGCTTTTAATAAAATCATGTAGTGTCCTAATTACGTATTGACTCCTCACTAGCGCCCAAAAAACAATATCCTGTTACCCTTAAAAATCAATACTATTTCTAGACTTTCCAAAAATTTCGGACTTATTGACACCCAGTATAGCCAACTCACACCAGAAAAAACTGAACATTCCTCACTGACAGATCACATAATCAGATTGAGACATGACATCAACAAAAACTCAGCCAGCAGGATACACAAATGTAAGTAAATAAAGCAAGAGGATGAATCTACTAGGGCATATGATTGTGAAGGAGTACAAAACAACCTGTAATATTCTTTTCATTCACACACCTGCAACTGAATGCTTCATATCATTCCAAGTGGAGAAGACATCACCAGTCCAGTGGCCTGAGAATTTACCTTGGCCAGCAAAAGTTGATCTTGAAATTATGAAGGGTCTCTTGTTTCGAATTTCTGTTAAGGCACTATCAAAACATTCATACTTTTATCAAAGAGTGAAAATTGACGATGATTAAAATTTTTGGTACTCAGTGAAAGCACTAAGAGACTCTGTGTATACAGGGTGATCCAAAAGTCCCTTCCACCCCCTCTAACTTTTTACCTAATTGAAGTAAAGATTTGAAACTTGGGGGATATTCCTAGGTCAAAGGGAGTTGCTTTTTGGCCCCCCTAAAATTTTCAGGGGGCCCCCTTTGGGGGGGGGGGGCAACGGCCCCCAACTTTAAATTTTCAAATGGGAAGACCCCCTTTGTGATAGCTCGTTCGAAAGAGCATAAAAAAAGAAAACTTTTCGCGCAAACCCGAAGTCAAAATGGCGGCCGGTTAAAGTTCAAAATGGCCGAAAATTCACACCGGTTATTTGTCGATGGATTTGCGCGAAAATCGGCGTGTAGGGGTATTTGGACACGAGAAAAACGAATTTGACGTTAGATTTTAAAAAAAAACCAAAATTTCCAAAATGGCCGCCGGTTAAAGTTCAAAATGACCAAAAATTGATTTTTTTATAAATCTAAGTTCAAATTTGTTTATCTTATGCCAATATACTCTCAAATTCCAAGTTTTAGGCAAATCCATCAGGAAAAAACCAAGGTGAAAATTTTCGGCCATTTTAAACTTTAACCGGCGGCCATTTTGGAAATTTTGGTTTTTTTGAAAATCTAACGTCAAATTCGTTTTTCTTGTGTCAAAATACCCCTAGATACCGATTTCCGCGCAAATCCATCAACAAATAACCGGTGTGAATTTTCGGCCATTTTGAACTTTAACCGGCCGCCATTTTGAAATAGTTTGAGATATTGACTTCGGGTTTGCGCGAAAAGTTTTCTTTTTTTATGCTCTTTCGAACGAGCTATCACAAAGGGGGTCTTCCCATTTGAAAATTTAAAGTTGGGGGCCGTTGCCCCCCCCCCCCAAGGGGGCTCCCCTGAAAATTTTAGGGGGGCCAAAAAGTAGCTCCCTTTGACCTAGGAATATCCCCCAAGTTTCAAATCTTTACCTCAATTAGGTAAAAAGTTAGAGGGGGTGGAAGGGACTTTTAGATCACCCAGTATATTAAATGATAAGAAAACACTTTTGTGATAAAGTCCAAAAGACTGGTAAGCAATAAGATCATTCATTTAATTACTAATTAAATTGTTATGTAATAGGGGGTCGGATTGTTTCCACTATTATCATGCAGTGCTTCTACAGGGGATGGAGGAATTTTCAATAAAAAGTTATGTGACAAATTTTTACTTAAATGCATGTAAGATGGCATGAATAACCCAAGGTACCACCAATTTTTCATCTCTATTTTCTTGTTTCTCGACGGCAATACAATGGTTGCTTGCTGAATCGAATTTCAAGGGTCCGCAGATTTACTTTGAATTCACAGGCTTTCATTAGAGCAAGACTTGGACAAGTTAATAAGTATACTTTTTTCTTTTGCCACAGAAAAACGGAGTGCTCGTTGATTAATCCTAACCTACATCTGAAAACAAGAACTTCTTTAGAATTGTGTTTTCTACCACTACTGAGTAGATAAAAAAAAAATGGTGTTAATTTTTATTGGCGGTCAATGGCCTTAACCTTGGCTCAACATGTTGTCTGTGGCGAAAAAGGTTGGAAACTGCTGATATAGCTCATGGATCAATTAATTTTCAGCATAGAGTTATTACAGTTCTTGAATAAATCCTGAATGTAGATGTTCAATGCATTGCATTGGGCCTGTTACAAACTTTTGCTAGAGCAAAGCTAAGAGTTGTATCTTATAGATGATGCCTCAAAAATCACGATGAGTGCATCGGCACAGTCTGAAATGCGCTCATACCTTCACAATCTGCATAAGAAATTTGCGGTTTTTTGAGCTTCCCGCTTCAAAAACGATACTACGGCACAGGTGAGCATTTTGTTTGAGGAGTCGTCCCATCATCGGCAATATTCATCATGGCCGACGCTAATTCGCCAAAACACGTGTGATGGGACGAGATAACACCTGAACAGGATTAGACTAGATAACAATCGGCGTGTTTACGTTCATATTTTCCTCGCCCAAGACTCTTCATTGACCTTGATCTCTTCTCAGATTACGCGCGGAACTGCGGAAGCGTTGGCCATGATGAATATTGCTGACGATGGAGCGACTCCTCTAACAAAATGTTCAACTGTGCCGTAGTATTGTTTTGGGAGCGGAAAACTAAAAAAACGTAAATTTCTTACGCAGATTGTGAAGTTATGAGTGCATTTCAGACTTTGCCGATGCGCTCATTGTTCTTTTTGAAACATTTTCAATGAGGAACAATTCTTACCTCTGCTCTAGCAAAAGTTTGGAACAGGCCCTTTGCATGAAATAGAGACAGAATTTTTTAAGAAATATGACAGTGTTCTCACAAGTTGGACGCTATAGCCTCTGAAAAGCCATGTACGTTATGAAGTTGGTAGTGTTTGCCCAGATATTGTTCAGCATTCATGCATATCGTTTTGAAGTTCAAATGGCCTCCTTCGACAATAGGGGTATACGGTGGGTTGTCCCAAGGGTTGTTTTCACAACCGCGCAGCGAGCCATCCACAAAATTCGAGGGTTCATTCATATCCTGATAGAAAATAAAATGAACTAAATTATGAGGGCCCCGGAAACTTTCTGAAGATGAATTATGCAGTAGGCTGATGATTGAAATTGGTAGACAAAGAAGACAAAGAGAAAATTGAGCGATCCTTTTTGATTGCGCATTTCCAAAAATCACACTAGTCACTCCAACCTAATTTTTCAGGAAAGATAAAAAACTATATAATTATGAAAGGTAACACAGCGAAGAAGGGAATTTATTTTTTTCTTGTACTTCCGTGTCTCACACAATGGGCCCCGAAGAAGTTTTTGTTCAAACAAATTTCCCCCTCCGCCGACTATACAGGGTGTCCCAAAAGTCCCTTCCACCCCCTCTAAAATTTTACCTAATTGATATTTTGAAACGAAACTTTGGGGATGTTCATCGATCAATGTTAGCTACTTTTGGGGCCCCCCAAAATTTTCGGGCCCCCCCGTGGGGAGGGGTTGCGGACCCCAACTTTTTTTTTTTCAAATAGCAACCCCTATCTTGTGATACCTCATTCGAAAGAGCATAAAAAACTAAGAATTTTGGCACAAACCGCAGATCAATATCTTAATTTTTGACCGAGTTATGATAGGTCAAAGGTCAAATTTGACCTATTTTCAAAAAATCATAACTCCGGTTCAAATTATCGTAATGAAAAAATAAAACGTGAAAATTTACCAAATTGTAAGCACTTTTAAGTAAAAATCACAGAAATTACTTCAAACTAATTTTAAGGGGGGTTTCGGACCCCCAAATACGTCAATTCAAAGGTCATTCAATTTTACCGCGAAATAAGCCAATTTCCCCCAGATTTGCCTCCACACCACTTCAGTAAGGTCAAAATCAGTTCAACATTACGTTGGCAAGTCCCCAAATTTCGGGAAAAGTTAAAAAAAAAAAATTTAAACGGTCAAATTTAATCACCTTAAAGTTCGTTTTTTTAAACTTTTCCCGAAATTTGGGGACTTGCCAACGTAATGTTGAACTGATTTTGACCTTACTGAAGTGGTGTGGAGGCAAATCTGGGGGAAATTGGCTTATTTCGCGGTAAAATTGAATGACCTTTGAATTGACGTATTTGGGGGTCCGAAACCCCCCTTAAAATTAGTTTGAAGTAATTTCTGTGATTTTTACTTAAAAGTGCTTACAATTTGGTAAATTTTCTCGTTTTATTTTTTCATTACGATAATTTGAACCGGAGTTATGATTTTTTGAAAATAGGTCAAATTTGACCTTTGACCTAGGTATCATAACTCGGTCAAAAATTAAGATATTGATCTGCGGTTTGTGCCAAAATTCTTAGTTTTTTATGCTCTTTCGAATGAGGTATCACAAGATAGGGGTTGCTATTTGAAAAAAAAAAAGTTGGGGTCCGCAACCCCTCCCCACGGGGGAGCCCGAAAATTTTGGGGGGCCCCAAAAGTAGCTAACATTGATCGATGAACATCCCCAAAGTTTCGTTTCAAAATATCAATTAGGTAAAATTTTAGAGGGGGTGGAAGGGACTTTTGGGACACCCTGTATGTTGTTTCCAGCAGGTAGGAGAGGTTTTTCAAATCGGCCACTTGATTATTTTGGAGTTCCAACCGTTGCCTACGAGAATGGAGAGCCCGTAACTACAATTCTGTGACGTCACACTAGTTGATGAAACTTGGCCGCGGTTTAACGGCCGTCCTTACGGGAGAACACTTGCCGCGCGATGATTTCTCGCCGATATCTTTTTCAGGGTTGATCAGACGCAAAATTTTATAAGGACCCTTTCGAAAGAGGATGAAATTTCACTTTAGAAAACTAACTAACTCATTTGTGACATGGTCTAAAAATCGAGGAAATGAAAGCGTAATACCGAAAATCGTTACTCCACTCAACGGGCCGCTTGCGCAACTTCGGCCGATCGAGGGCCACTCTGATTGGTCCACGCAGCGACTGCCTCACTCATTGATGCACCGATGACCCAGAGATGCTTGTTGTTTTCGGAAAATATCTACTAGCTTGACGTCACAAAACTGACTAGTTACGGCCTCTCCATTCTCGTAGGCAACGTTTCAACAAGGAGAGAACGCTTAGTTCTGGAGTTCTAACATGCAGATTTTCATGACTTTTGCGGGTCAATAGGGGTAAGTCCCTAAATGAGCCCTCCCTACTTGGACTTCCTTAATTACAGGGCACTAGCAGTGGAAATTCTTACAAGTTGGGAACACACTTTTTTTCCATTTAAATGTACATAAAGAATTCATAAGTTTAATGGATTAAAATGGAGGAAAAACAGTGTTACCCAATTGATAAATCGCCAATGGACAAAGCGCCCTTTGGAAATTAGGTCACGTAGTAGCTAGGAGGCATACCCCTAGTTCTTCTCTTTCTACAAATAGTTTGAAAGTTGTGTGCTTTTATGGTCCTACATTTTTGACTACATTTTTGATGAAAATAGATAACCTGTTTTGAGTGGAAGAGATATTTAAATTCATGCACAAGGGGTATTGTCATTTCTTACTTATGAGCCTTTAGCATCGAATTAAGGCAAAAATCCCTGGGGCAAAATCCACAAGCACAATAGAGCAAAATCCCTAGACCTACTTAGGCCCATCTTCTACCAAATCTCTTTTCCAGTTGCTTGTTTTTTTTTTTGGACTTCAAAGGTTTCGTACTAAGAAACTAATTTAGAGGCTACATCATGGTTCAATAGTAAGCAAACGCACAACTTTGTGTCTGATTCGCGCATTGGCAACACTTGTCTAAAAATAATCGAAGACAACTCACAATCCAAAGACCATCGAATGGTATATCCTCATGCAGGCGCTTCAGCTGATTTAGCCAATAAGTAATAGTATTTTGGTTGGTAAAGTCAGGCCACACAGTTGCGCCTTGGCTCCATACCTAAAGACAATCAGAGGAAAATATTATCAAAAGCAAAGGACAGTAGATTTTCTTTGGAACTGGAATGAGTCAAGGAGATAATAAGAAAAGGGTGGAATACAATGATACAACCAAATAATTGTACTTCTAGGCTATGTAATGGACACATACTTGCGTTGTAAAGCAAGGGTGCAGACTGCAGAAACGTCCTGACCTTGCATCGCAAGGCCTGTGATGTGAAGGAATATGTTGTGTACACATGTTTTTTTCCAAGATTGCAATGAAAAGGGTGTAACTAGTAAAATTGAGGCAATTTTCCTCTGAATCGCGAAAAGGGATAATCACTTGAAAAATGTTTGGGGAGAGGGGCCTTGCAAAATGAGAGAGGCGTTCTGAAAAATAAGAGGGCTAGGAACTTTCCATGGCCCAGTTACAGAGTTTCAAAATTTCCGCTCGTTTAATTTTTCCAATAGTTTATTACCTTGCATATCTATTACAGAATACCATTTTCAAAGAATGACCATTAAAGAGTATAGACAAATTATACATTTCAAGCAAATATTATTATTGGTTGTTCTTCAACACGATAAAATATACTAAAAAATCTTTAACAGAGCCATGAAAAATGCAGAATTTTAGTTACACCATCAATTTAGTGTTTATGGGGAAGAAACTTTTCCACACATTTTTAGTTCAACTGTAATATAATCAAGAAGGAGAACTGCAAAGAATTCATCAGAATTAATTTACAAAGCTATTGCATCATTTCCTTTTAAAGTAGATTTGAATAAATGAGATTGGTAATAACAACTCCGTCTGTGCTGTCTTCCAGGTAGTACTGCCAGTCCCAAGCCCGGGCTACGAAGGAGGGTTTGGAGGTGAGGCTAACAACCTGCCTCCGGCAAAACACCAAATCTGCTCAAAGGAAAAATAAAAGAACTTGGTACCAGACTATAACGGATTTACCACTAAGAAATTTAAGGAATACAGACAAAACGGATTAAAATGGTTTGACAATAGAGAATTGTTTCGTGGAACAAGAAATCATGGAATAATAGAGAACAAGAAATTGTCGTAGAGATATAGGAAAGAAACACTGACATCTGTCCTCTAAATGAAATAAGAAGAAAAGGCGCTGGCAGTGTGGCATGTGAAAATTACCAGATTTTCTACAGGGGTGCTAATAAAAATGATAGAGCATTTGCCAGTGTTGGAATACTAATTCATAAAAAATCTTGTTAGCAATATCACTGCTATTAAATATGTTGATGAAAGGCTACTCCTTCTACAGATGAACCTCGGCTGTGAGAGGTTGAACCTAATATCAGTTCACGCACCAGATACGGGAAGAAGGAAGCAGAAAAGAGACAATTTTTACGGAAACTTGCAAAAAGTGATTGATGCCATAAGAAAAATTGATCATCAGGGATGCTTGTGGTATGCAAGGTGTAGCCAAGTCAACCAGTGTGAGAATAAAGACGTGGTCGTTGACCGAATGGTTGAGGAGAGACTAGTGAAAATTTGTATGACAGGACAACCCTTCAAGAAAATATTAGCTGGACGACCGTTTAAGGATGGTCACTAAGTTAGCTCTCTTCTTCTGAGGATGACTGATATTGCTGCTTCATATTGATTTGACAAATCCTTTATTTTTTAAGTGTTTTTGGACTTTGTAATATTTATATGAGCTAGTGTGCTCCATACTAGTACGCCCTAATCGTCCGTAGAAGAAGGAGAAGAGAAAGATGATCAAATGATAGAATATACTCGGACTTAGCACCAGAGTCTGAGTAACGAAAGAAGCCTTCGACACTGTGAGTCAGAAATTCACGATAACAGTTACTTCAGCACTTCTTTCCTAAAATGTAAGGTTGAAGGCCCCTGGACTATTCCAAGAGATTTTGTTTTGTGAAATATTGTACCTAAGGAAAAAATGCCAATATGAGGAACACAATTTGTCATCAAAGCAGACTGACATTGACTACTCCAAGAAAAAATTATTGCTAGAACAGTACACTGCATGATTAAAAAAGCACTTATGTTTTGATGTAAACTGGGATACCTAAAAAATTGCCAGAGTAACATATCAATAGATCTTTGCATTTCAAAAGAAGATCTTTGCATTTCAAATTTTTCAATTAATTTTTGTGCTAATTGATTGAAGGTTTTTTCTTCTTTTTTTTTTTTGCAAAATTAGCAAACTGAATTTTATCACTTAGTGATGACAGTGTACTCACTGTGCGCCTGAAAAGACTTATTGTGAAGTTGGAATGAACATAAAAAATTCGAGCTGAAGGTTGCAGTAAAGTACTCCTTGATGGGTTTTTGACTAATTTCGAAATAGGTCATAGGAGCTCTTCGAAAAATAATTGCATTATTCAGGTTTTGTATAATAGCAAAATGGGCCTAGGGGTGACACATAGAACACCCCCCCCCTCCTTTATCCTTGTCTTGAATAATCTGAATTTTTTATATAGTGTTCCTTAGTATGAGGTGCAACAGTCCTGAAATTTTGACCGTTGAATTTCTTGTCCCTGTAGCAATTTTGAAATAGGTTACTAGAGCTACTGGAAAAATAAGGGACTTTCGTGGATTTTTAGAGGTAAAATAGCAAGATGGGCCTAGGGGTGACGTTTAAAACCTTTTTCTCTGATCCTGCCTCGACTGAACTGTATGTTGATTCCTGGTATTAGACGCAGCTTATTTGGAATTCTTACGCTCATGAAATTTTTTTTGCCTCCATGGCGGCAATGCCAGGTTGCGGACTTATAAGTAACTAAAAGTGTCGAGGGGAGATTTCCTGTAAAGTTTTACAAAAAATGCGCATTCTCTGAGATTTCAATTAGAAAAGGCTTAATTGCACGATTTCAAATTACGATGTTGCCAGTTCCACGATGTAAAACTTGTTAAAATGACCTGAGTCCTGTTGCAGCTTTGAGTCTTGGGATTTCATTTGGTTCGGAATAGATTATGATGATACTGCCGTATTTTATGCATTGAAATACTATGAAACTGTTGGAGTTATTTACATGATGCGTCCAGCTGACTCAACAGAAGAAGAGGAACCCAAAGCTTGAAGCTGCAACGCGATTCAGGTAATTTTAACGTGTTTTACATTGTAGAACTGGTAACACTGTCATTTAAAATTATTCAAATACGCACATTCTTACTGAAAACTCTGGCATTGCACATTTATAATAAAATTTCGCACAAAACCTCACCTCGAAAATTTCATTTTATCAAAAAATTTGATATTTTGAAGTCCGCGACCTTGCAATGCCACCACCGAGGCAAAAAAAAATTCTCGGGCATAGGAATTTCAGAAAAGCTGCATCTCATATCAGGAATCAACATATTTAAAATGCAGTTTAGTCAAGGCAAGACGAGAAAAAAGGGTTTAATTTGTCACCCCTAGGCCAATCTTGCTATCTTACCCTCCAAAACTACAAAAATGCTTTTATTTTTCGAGGAGCTCCAATAACCCATTTTGAAATTGGCCAGAAACCTATTAAAAAGTACCCTACTACAACCCCCAGCTCCAATTCTTGATTTAAATTCAATGTTCATGATAAGTCTCTTCAGGTGTACAATAAGCATTTCGATAAATTAAGCATGGAAGACTCATCATGGGCATGATTTGAGAATATGCTGGTGCTGCCACAATTATAGAGGCAGTTTTAGAGGTTGTTCTCAGCTGTCAAATTTTTAGATTGTTTTTAGGGCACAGGCACTCAAGAATCATGTAAAGGTGAGTGTTTGAAGTGTACTCAAGGAAATCCTGGAACGTAAATAAAAGTATATCCTCCTGTACTTAAATATAAGATTCCAAGACTTACAAGGGGAACTTCCCAAGCTGCCGCCTCCGATCGGGCTGAAAAAATTCGTACGAACTCTTTGGATGAATTTATTTGACCCGTATTTTTTTGTTTTTTCCAATGCCCCCCAGAAACACCCCAAAAAAATTCCGGAAAGTTTTGCTTTGAGCGCTTGAGTCTATATACAAAGTATAGCAGTGCTCACCTACCGTCAAGTGGTGGCTCTGCGGTAGCGCGCTCGCCCAGTGAACCGGCGGGCCCGGGTTCGATTCCCGGGCGCCGCGCCAAATTTTTACGACCGAATTTTATATTCTCACACATTTTCACATCGATTCCCATTTGATACATTAGAACTTAAAACATCAATTAATTTACAACCATCAACGATCAATAACTTTTTCAATTTGAAGTGTAGATTTTTTTGTGGGAGGGGGGAGGGGTCACGCGCGCTATATTCTCGCCAATCACTGTACTTTCACATTAGCAGACGACCCGCTCCGCCCCCTCACATCGACATATTTCTCCCGATCACCCGTATGAGTCATGATTTTTCCCATTATTATCCAGAAAATGATAATGAAAAATTGTAGCATTTTTAATTTGAATGTTCGAAGTAATTTTTCATTATCATTTTCTGGATAATGATGGGAAAAATCATGACGCATACGGGTGATCGGGAGAAATATGTCGATGTGAGGGGGCGGAGCGGGTCGTCTGCTAATGTGAAAGTACAGTGATTGGCGAGAATATAGCGCGCGTGACCCCTCTCCCCTCCCAAAAAAAAATCTACACTTCAAATTGAAGAAGTTATTGATCGTTGATGGTTGTAAATTAATTGATGTTTTAAGTTCTAATGTATCAAATGGGAATCGATGTGAAAATGTGTGAGAATATAAAATTCGGTCGTAAAAATTTGGCGCGGCGCCCGGGAGTCGAACCCGGGCCCGCCGGATCACTGGGCGAGCGCGCTACCGCAGAGCCACCACTTGACGGTAGGTGAATTCTGCTATACTGCGTATATAGACTCAAGCGCTCAAAGCAAAACTTTCCGGAATTTTTTTGGGGTGTTTCTGGGGGGCATTGGAAAAAACAAAAAAATACGGGTCAAATAAATTCATCCAAAGAGTTCGTACGAATTTTTTCAGCCCGATCGGAGGCGGCAGCTTGGGAAGTTCCCCTTGTTAGTGTAAGGTGGGTACAGCTCTTACTGAAAGTTATTCACACCCTTGAGAAAGGGCAAAACTTACTCTGCCTACAAGAGGGAGTCCACTCTCATTTTTTATAAACACCTGATCGGCAAGGCCTTCATCAAAAGGCGGATATGTGCCTCTTGGCTCAGCAGCACTCACTCCAGGATCCAGAATTGGCACGTAATGCATTCCCATGGAATGCAAATTTTCTATGAATTCTGGTAATTTTGCAAACTCTTTTTTATTTCTTGTAAAATCATTATTTCGATCCATGTAGTCTAGATCATTCCATTGCACATCCTGCAAAAATAAAGCAATAGAAACATGAATTAAACCATTGTCCATTTCACGAAACCTGAGACTTTTTATCATTCAGCATTAAAACCCGTAAATAGCAACGCAGCAGTCTTGGACTCGGGTGCCCCGACCGCTCGCCGGACACCCTTTTTTGTTCAGCGACCATAAGCCAACAACCCGTCCATTGTGAGGGTAGGAACAATGGGCACCCCTAATCCCTCCTTAATGAGCCCTTGTACCCGGACCGAAATTTTTTTCTCGCTGAGAAATTCACCTTTTGGCGTGAAAATTAGTTCTAGCGTGAAAAAATGATAAAAACGCACTAGAATTTCGTCCAAGTATCTTAATTTTGAGCTGATATACGGCATTTGCGTACGAAATACCGTATGTCAGCTCATAATTAAGATTATTGGACGAAAATATAGTGCGTTTTTGTCATAATTTCAAGCTGGAACTAAATTTTGGTTTGAGTTCAATCAGTTTTTGAGTTCGGATGGTCTCTAGCCTATTCAGAGGATGGAATAGACTTGACAAACCATTAAAGAATCTTAAAGGCGACCAATGAACCCGGGTGTCAAAACTACCAATTATACGCTGAATTGGCGACTTGGATCCCCAAAATGTGGGGTAAAACTTCGAGATAGGAAGAAACACCCGTTGAAACTTTTAATAAGTAGGCTAAGACCTACAACATATAAAAAAATCAGCCGATTTAACCGGGCCCACTTTTCTCATAAGGTTGGACTGTCGTCCTTTAAAGATCTTACTGGGGACAAAAAACCTATTTCTGCCTGTGCCATTCTTCTTCTCTTCTTCAATTCTTCATCCACCCTGAGTGGTCAAAATAACAGAAGCATAAAATTGTGAAAAACATTAAGTTAAGGCCATTTTCAGAAACTTAAGAAGTAAAGAAAATGTACTTATTTATGTCATCTGAAGCATCAGCCAAAATTCAAAAGTTCATGATAGTGATCGTAGTAGAACGGAGACTGGAGACCTTGAAATTCATACCAGTAAACACAGAATTGCGTTAATTTTTCAAACATGGACAAATACATACAACCTTTTTGAGGATAAATTACGAGAGGTGTTGAAACTTGAGAAACATCTAAATGTTACTATAGACAGCAGGCTTAACCATGAATTTTCCTGATTCTGGCAGGCACTGCACCTACTTTCAGTAGCATTTATTTACATATAATTTTGAGGCCATGACACTGCGAAGGTCTTTTTACTTAAACATATTGCTATGGAATAGGGAGAGAAGGATATATTTGATTAATACTTTCTTCTTTAACCCCCAGCTCCTTATCTTGACAGAAGCGCCAATTTAGGAGTCAATGTTTTTATGAATGTATATATTCACAATAATCTTTAATTATGTTTATTTTAGAAAAGTATAAACCTACTAACTTCAAAAAATTTTTTTTAAACGATGACTTTACTTGAAGGGCCAAAAAAAGACACTCTTTCATAAGAAAAGAAAAAAAAGGACTAACATTAATTAAACTTCTAATGATCTTGGATTTGCTGTTCCGTTGCGATAAAATTATCAGCTGACTGCTATCTCTATGCTATCTTATTAGAGAATCTTCCAGTTTCCTCGGTTACAGAGTATAATGGAAAATCCTTCTTTTCCGATGAGACAGTGACATCCTGAATTTTTCTATTTCCGATAAAATGAAGAGACGCTCTACAAACCAGGTACTGCTTTTTGAACTTTTTCTTCCTATTTTTTACGAAGTACTATACTTACTTTCCAGATAAATCTTAATAATTTTGTGAAAGACGAAGAATAAATGTGATAGATTTTTACACATGATTGTCCGCAGGAAAAGAAGGTTTATAGTTTACAGATTCAAATTTACTTGTTATGTGAAAGACTCGTGTTGAGTTTTGTTGAAAAATTAGATTGTACAAGGTAATATGTACTCATATTAATGGGCTAGTTCAAAAGCGGATTCAGCAATTTGGCAACGCTGTCTTCCTTCCATTTAAACCTGTGTTGAATAATCGATTCTTGGCGGAGCACTTGGCCCCTCCTGGAATCGATACATTTACATATGTTTAAATGAGGAAAGAACAATGTTGCCAAATTTTTGGATCTGATAATGCGCTGGTCACAGAATTTTTGTTGATGTACGTTTTTTGCCGAGTTCTACATTTTATAACCAGAGCAAATATGCGTTACATTGACTAATAATGGGCCTGTTGCAAACTTTTGCTAGAGCAAAAATAAGAGTTGTTTTCTATAGATAATGCCTCAAAAATCACGATGAGCGCATCGGAAAACTCTGAAATGCACTCATAACTTCACAATCTGCGTAAGAAATTTGCGTTTTTTTGAGCTTCCCGCTTCAAAAACGATACTACGGCATAGGTGAACATTTTGTTAGAAGAGTCGCTCTATCGTCGGCAATATTCAACAGGCCCATAGCAAGGTTGAATAAACCAAGGATGTCACTACCTCGGTGGATTATGCAAAAACCTGACTTTTCAATTGCCGATATCTTGGTTAATATTGAACGTAGAAAGTTGCTTTTTGACAGATTTATGCTTTTAGTTGACAAGAATCAGGTATCAAAACAAGATTTTGAAATCAGCGCAACTGATCCACTGTGAATATTTTTTATTTCAGAATGCAAAACCTTCAAATTTTTTGAAAAAGAAACGAGCTCAAAAATGCGAACAATTAAAGGAAGTAAGTAACTTTAAATTGATGAATTTAAATTCTTTGTATGAAGTGCAAGATTTAGAAAACTAGAATTAATGAGAACAATGCTTAGAGAATTTTTAAATCCAACTGTTTTCGCATGTTGAAAATTGGAAAAGAAAATAAGTTCATAAGTTCAGCAGACACCCGCGGTGCGTATAGGAAAGCCCAGGCGAGGGTTCGTCTTTTAATAACCAGGAAGAAAAACGAGTCTTGGGAGAACAACTGCTCAAGGATTGACACATACCTGGGGGGAAGGAAGAGTGCTGAGAGCTGGAAGCTGATCAAAGGCCTAAGAAGGGACATGAAACGGGACATTATATCTCCAATAACAATCTCACAGCTTGACGAACATTTTAGTAAATTATTGACAGAAGGACGACCAGAGTTTCAAACGGGGAATGCTGAAAATATAGACGAGGATCACTCAATGGAAATTCGAGTTGAGGAGGTGGTCAAAGCAATCAGGGAATTGATGAATGGAAGAGCTCCTGGGCCAGGAAACATTCCAGCTGAGATAATTAAATGTGGAACTGGCAAGTTGGTTAACCATCTCAGGGATTTGCTGCAGATGTGCATTGACGGTGACCGTAATCTTCAAGGACGGAAAGCCATCGCCATGCTTAATGGGATTCTTTGGGACCAAAGGATTTCCAAAGACAACAGACATTTTTTGCGTATATACCTACTGTTTTAGATCGTTAGATGTTCTTGGATATGGCATGAGGACTCTACGGAGAACTAACTAATTTTTTAGCTCATATATTGAGTCATTATGTAGTATTAACTGTAAATGATTTGTTTACAGAATAATACATCTGCCTGCAGTGTAGAAACATCTCAAAACGAAAAAAAAGATGATGAAATGAAAGATTTGGAATACAAAAAAACAGTTGATACAATACAAGATAATATGCCATCAACCAGCGGCACTCAATCCACTATTTCTGATATGCCGTCAACCAGCGTCACTCAATCCACTATTTATGATGTGCCATCAACCAGCGGCACTCAATCCACTATTTCTGAAGAGGATAGTATGATTGAAGTTATTAGTGATGACGATGCTCATGAAGATGATACCGAAGAGAAGATGCGACAGTTGCATGCTAAGTAAGTATGAACATACATTTGAACGTTTACATGAAAAAAGGATTTTAGTGCTTTAATATTACAAGTCATAGTATCGCTTAAGGATCACAATAATGTGTGCACATACATTTTGACACTAAAAAGTTCCGAAGCAAAGTAGTTGAGAAATTAATGACCCTCTGTCTGTATTTCTACAGCAAGCAAAAGTTAGTGACTTAATTTTTTTCGAGAAGTCTTGATTGTATCCATTACATCCACTTTTTTCAGAAATTACTGCAAAAGTTTTGGACTTTAGCTCTTATGACTGAGTCCAATCCACATTGTGACTCTAATTTTTCAGAAATAATCATAATTAATTTTGTTTAATGTGCCCATAGGCAACCATGTGTACTTTTGCTTAGACTTAGCATTAGTAAATATACAATCTTTGGGAACCATAGTATACAATGCATAATATTTTAATTCAATTTACTTTACCACTAATATTTCTTTCTTATATACAATTTTTACAGATTGGATAATATTTTGATAGAGATGGATGCCATAGAAAATAAACACAAATTGTCCAGAAAATTCAAGAAAAACTTATTTCGAGGTAAAATATTCATACCGTTTGTAATTAATTTAGTTATTACCAAAGGTTGCCTTTAAAACTCAGTTCATTGAAACTTTCTTATTTTGACGCATGTAGTATAGTAATTTTTCGTGTAATACCTATTTTCTTTACGAAATTGCTGTATAATTGAATTGCATTTTGCGCAAGCGTGAGATAAAAAGCGCGTAATATCTCAGGATTCAAATAATCCGCTGGAAATATCTCGTAATTTTTGCAATATTTTTACGAATTTTGAGGAGTATCTCACTTTGTAACCAGCAGAAATGATGCGAGCAACTACTGGGACTCCGGAGTTGGTCATAGAGTACCTAGAGTCGTACTGTAAGTGGGGAAGCTGGCGCCACTTTTAAACATTTTCAATGTCCCGAATTCCGAGACTCCTGTGTGACGTCGGGTCACTTTTTCGATAATCGATTGTATGCGATACACGGGTATCCGACCATCCGATAACAACAACAACAACAACAACAACAACAAAAAAGGAGATAGGAATTACCACGTATTCCACACCGCCATTTTGCATCGAAAATGTATCGAAAAAGTGACCCAAACTCGGCGCACACCGGGCTCGGAATTCGTCGAGCAGAACATGGCGCCAGCTCTTCCAGTTGCATTACGACTCTATGTACTCTATGGAGTTGGTACGTGTATCACTCGAAATTGAAGGAAAATCATAAGTTTACGCCCATTTTACTTAAGTGATGTTTATAATAATTATTATATTATGCTCGCATTTACATAAAAGTCTCCCATTTCCCGTGATATTCATGCATGTTAGGAGATGTCTCATACTTTTACTGCTATTTCGCCGCACTCCGTACTACTTTTCTTCCAATAAAACTCAATGCAAACGTGTGCTTCTGTACCCCAACTAGGCACCGTGCAACCGCTATCCATTTAGAATTTTAATCCAGAGTGATACCTGAGACGTCTTTAAAGTTTTTTTTTTTTTTAAGAAAAGAAGTTAAGTATGAATGCTGGGAAGTTTTTCCCAGCAGAGAAGAATGTTACGGAAAAAGCTTTGTTCACCACCACTCAGGATTCCATTTTCCCTCTTTTTTGAGGGGGGGGGGGGCAGACTACGATCAACCCACGGTGCGTTTTAAACAATTTTAATGCGGTCAACATACCACCCGCGATTTTTTTGCGGAAATGTCAACTAGAAGGCCTACTGATTGAGGAACAACAAACCGCGAAATCTGTGATGGGGCCGTTTTTGAGAAAACGCGATTTTTCGCTTTTTTGGCGGGAATTTCGGGTCAAGGCGCTGAAAAAGTCAAGTTAGGCTGTTTTTATAATTCGTAAATGCATATCCTATACATTTTGAGTCAATCAAGTGCCAGTAGATAGCTATTCGTGCATATTGCCCAAAATTCATATCCTTAAATCCACGACTTCTGGGTTTTTGGGGGGTTAGTCAAGGAGAAATCCGAAAAAAAGAGGGTTAACCCGGAACAAATTGCTTAACAAACTTTTCCTACGTAAACTTCTTCAGTAGGTCCTATTGAACAACATACCAAAAGTTTACCACGGTTCGCTCCCGGAACACCCCCCCCCAAATTGCCTAAATTTCAAAATGGCGGCCATAATAAGGCCTCTGGGAGTTCGATTTTTTTAAAAATACGCATACAGTGTCATGTGAGGTGTCAATTCCTATGTAATTTAGGTCGTAGATTTCAAATATGAAGTAAAAAAAGTCCCTTGATCAAAAGGGGGTACCCCAAATCCAAGATGGCAGCCAATTTTGAAAGTCAAGAGGGTGGATTTTTAAAAAGTTCGCGTGATAAGGCAAGTGAGGTATCATTTCTTATGTAATTTTGGTCGTAGATTTCATTTATGAAGTCATAAAAGCCCTCAAGTCAAAGGGATTGCTCCAAATGCAAAGATGGCGGCCAGCTTTGAAAGGCAGGAGGGTGAATTTTTGAAATGTTTACGTGACATCCCTAGTAAAATAGAATCAACCTGACGTTTCATAAACTACCCTGAGTCAGACTAATTCAGGCTGATATCAATCTGACTCAGGGTAGTTTATGAAACATACCCTGACGTCAGGTTGATTCTATTTTACTAGGGATGTCACGTAAACATTTCAAAAATTCACCCTCCTGCCTTTCAAAGCTGGCCGCCATCTTTGCATTTGGAGCAATCCCTTTGACTTGAGGGCTTTTATGACTTCATAAATGAAATCTACGACCAAAATTACATAAGAAATGATACCTCACTTGCCTTATCACGCGAACTTTTTAAAAATCCACCCTCTTGACTTTCAAAATTGGCTGCCATCTTGGATTTGGGGTACCCCCTTTTGATCAAGGGACTTTTTTTACTTCATATTTGAAATCTACGACCTAAATTACATAGGAATTGACACCTCACATGACACTGTATGCGTATTTTTAAAAAAATCGAACTCCCAGAGGCCTTATTATGGCCGCCATTTTGAAATTTAGGCAATTTGGGGGGGTGTTCCGGGAGCGAACCGTGGTAAACTTTTGGTATGTTGTTCAATAGGACCTACTGAAGAAGTTTACGTAGGAAAAGTTTGTTAAGCAATTTGTTCCGGGTTAACCCTCTTTTTTTCGGATTTCTCCTTGACTAACCCCCCAAAAACCCAGAAGTCGTGGATTTAAGGATATGAATTTTGGGCAATATGCACGAATAGCTATCTACTGGCACTTGATTGACTCAAAATGTATAGGATATGCATTTACGAATTATAAAAACAGCCTAACTTGACTTTTTCAGCGCCTTGACCCGAAATTCCCGCCAAAAAAGCGAAAAATCGCGTTTTCTCAAAAACGGCCCCATCACAGATTTCGCGGTTTGTTGTTCCTCAATCAGTAGGCCTTCTAGTTGACATTTCCGCAAAAAAATCGCGGGTGGTATGTTGACCGCATTAAAATTGTTTAAAACGCACCGTGAACCCTTTCCATTGCAGAACAGATCAATATAGCATCACTAATCAGCACACTACTAATCTCTGCATTTTTATCAGTTAGTGCGACTCGCTGATTTTTAAATTTGGCCGCCGAGGCCACGCTAGGCAGTATCTTCTCACAATGAAGGAGTTCTATATGTGCAAACGTATAAGAACCATCTGAATAAATTTTATCAAGCACAGATTCTACTAATATATTGCCTTTTGTCTGGAAACACAAGACAACATTAGCTTATCTTTCTCTGTCAAAATATTTTCTTACCTTATATTATATAAATTATTTTTTTTACTCAATAAAATGTCTATCTTTTAGTTGTTAATTGGCTTGTAATTTGTATGTTATAGATGATGCAACAACCAGTCATAATGCAACCGCAAACGCAAACATAAATGAAAAACCTAAAAAAAAACTAAAAGTACAAGCACAAGTGCATGTACCACCAACAGAACGTGCTCAAGCTAACCAGCACAATCAAAATATAATTAAAATAAAAGATGTTACAAATTTGTCAAATGAGCATTTTACAATCCAAGGTAAAGTCGTTTTTAAAACTAACATTTACAATTACGAAAATTCGAATTCAAAAGGAAAATTTTTTAAATTTATTTTGAAAGATGATTCGTCTGAAATTTTAGTAACGGCATTTAATGAAAAGGCCCAACAGGTATTTGAAATCATTAAAATGGACCATTGCTTTATCTTATCAAAAGGCAATGTGAAAGAAGCAAACAAACAGTACAACCGCACTGAACATGCTTTTGAAATTACCCTTATTAAAACCTCTCTTTTACGAGAGGTTTCTGCTGAAACATTTAACCACCTTGACGAGCAATTAGAATTTACCAACTTTTCGGAACTGAAAATTTTGCCTGAAGATACTCTTGTTAATGTAAAAGGAAAAATAGTGGAGGCATTTGATGACATTGGTTTAAGTTCTCTCAAAAAAAATAAACCTTTAAGAAAAAAATCAATTATCATTCAAAATGAGAAAATGGTCCAAATCAAATGAATATGAAGTGCTTACGTTTTTTCAACAATTTGTCAGATTATTTTCAGCTATTTTAATTTATTTTCTTAATGCTATCATAATTCATCCATAATTTGAACATCATACGAGGGGCATCAAGAAAGTAAGTTTACCTATTTACTATCTCCTAAACTAAGACGGATAGTGAAAATATTTAAAAAGCATTGAAAAGCAACAACTTTCAGCTTTCTAATGTGCTGTAGATTATTAAATTTGGCTTGATAGAACTATAGAAAAGTGGATTTTTCTGAACCCATCTCCCCTCCCCAAGGTAGAGTGCAGCCCTCTGTAGACAAAAATCAAAAATCAACAACTCGACATCTGAATATTTCTTTGGAGTTTGTCATTTTAAATTTAAAGATATTACTGACCCACAATGATGGTTCATTTTCAAATTCTTCGGTCAAAACCACTTGAAAGGGGTCGGTGTAAAACGGGCCATTTGGGGCTCGGGGTGGATACCTTTGAAACTTGCCCTATTCAGTTACCGAACAATACCCCATCTTTTCCCGCAGTTTCAAGCCCCCCATTTTTTGGGAGACGCAGCGGGGGGTCGAAGTTAAAAATCGGCAAAATTTTAGCGAATTTATTATTCGAAAATCATGAAGTGTTGGCGACCGCGGTTTAAACGATCGTATTCAGCGTGATAAGAGCTTAACACCATGGGGTCTTGTCAACTTCAGCTCGAGTTACCGCCTCCGAAGCGCCGGAACGCTCAAAAACGACCCCTTATTTTTTCACGTTCGGGCCGATTTAAAAAAAAAAAAACATTTTTTTATTTTGATGAAAATCGGATATGTTGTTCCTGACTCCCTGTAGCCCCTCTAGTTCCTTACCGCATGCTGGGGAAATGTTTTGGTCGCGAGTTATAAGAGCGGACAGGAGCGACGGTCGGGAAAATCGGCCATTTTGAACTGCGCGCGCGGCTTTGATCGGAGGGAAAACGTACCCTCCCACTCAGTCCGGTGAATCACACTCCTGGGCCGAACTCGCACTGTTCCCTCATGTCTCCTGATCCGTCGCCGCGCGCAGTTCAAAATAACCGATTTTCCCAACCGTCGCTCCTTTTCGCTCTTATAACTCGCGACTAAAACATTACTCCAGCCTGCGGTAAAGAGCTAGAAGGGCTACAGAGAGTCCGGAATAACATATCAGTTTTTCATCAAAATAAAAAAATGGCTTTTTTTTAAATGGGCCCGAACGAGAAAAAGTCAGGGGTCTTTTTTGAGCACTCCGGCGCTTCAGAGGCGATAACTCGAGCTGAAGTTGACAAAACCCTATGATGTTATACATTTTCTGAAAGCTCTCATTGCGCTGAATACGCTCGTTTAAACTGCGTTTCCCAAAACTTCTTGGCTTTCGAGTAATAAATTCGCGAAAATGTTGCCGGTCGTTAACTTTGGCCCCCCGCCGCGTCTCCCCAAAATTTTTGGGGGGCTTGAAACTTCGGGAAAAGATGGGGCATTGTTTGGTGAATGAATAGGGCAAGTCTCAAAGGTATCTGCCAGGAGCCCCAAATGGCCCGTTTTGCACATACCCCTTTGAGTAGAGAGTCGGCGGCAAATGGATAGAATCGCTGGTCCATAAGAAATACAGGGGAAAAAGACGTCAACTTCAAATGAAAATTTCTTGCTTGAAACGCAAATTCGCTTCTGGGTTGTTGAAATTTTCTTAATCCTCACATATCCACCTTCAATTCTACAAAAAAGATCTTGCGATTTTTTGTGACTGTCAGAGACATTTGAAGTTAAAAATTGGGTGTTTCGCGTTACTTTTACATTGTTAACACAGGGCTGATTCGAAGTTCCCAACTTCAAATGAACTTTTGTCTAAAAATACACAAAAAATTCTGAAAGATAACATTTTCTTATTCCTCGGGTGTTTTACATTGATAGTGCCAAAGGGTTTTCCTATGTCGGTGCTACTATCTTCATCATTAAAAGTTAGGTATCTTCCACCGATTTTTGTCCGCATCGTCCATAAAGACGCCACACTGTGCGCGGGTCCAAAATTTCACAGAGCCCCATCAAAAAGTGGGCTGCTGTATCTTTTGCTCATTGCAAAAAAAAGGTGGCTTAGAGATGCTTGAAAATCATGAAAACCATAAGGAAAAACATTAATCAGCTATGAAATTGCAGGATTGACCGTGTTTACTTTAAAATCAGTTGTATCCGAACAAAAGTTAACTGAATTGTCACCTTTAGCACTCACTCACTCACTGATTTGTTTACAACCTTTCATATTATTCCGCCCGCTCTTGAAAAAAATTCGTCAAAGATGCATCATTTTGAAAAATATGCAGCAATTACAACATTTCTTCGGTAAATTATCCTGAATTTGAGCAGCTATGGTCACCTTTCTTGGTTAGAGAACGAATTATAGAGTGCAATTCACACACCGGAACTAAATTCAGCAGCAGAACTTAACAGGTTAACCAATTCTTTTCACAAACTGCAGTCTAGACCCATTAATTATCAAATAATCCTGCTTATTATTATAAAAAATGTAATTTCTCGTGTTTTACATGAAATTCAACCACCTCTATGTCACTTTCTTGCAACAAACGATAGACACAGTAACTCATTTGCTAATAGCGCTCTGTGAAATTTTCAACCCGCATAGAGGGGAGATGGGTTCAGAAAAATCTACTTGAGTTCTATTAGACCAAATTTACCAATCTATAGCCCATTAGAAAGATGAAAATAGTGAGTTCCCAACGCTTTTTACAGACTTTCTTTGCTTATCTTGGTTCAGAAGGTATTGAATAAATGAACTTCCTTTCTAGATGACCCTTGAACAATTGAGGAGTTCTTTTGAAAAACCACGTAAAACAGAAATGACAAATGTGAGAAAAACGCAGAAGATTCAAATTCGTGGAGTTTTGATGAAAATTGATGAATTCTTAAAGTGTAAAAACAGTACTGAAGGGCATTCTCTCTTTGATCGATCACCTTAAAAAAACATTTTATAGTTACTTGGCACTTCATGGTAGTGAAGGCTACAAGTTCAGTTATTACATAGTTTTTACGGAGAACCACTTTTGTACCTCCACAAAATAACTTAGATCCTTGTTTTTAGCACAAAGTTGATTGGAAATACATAAGAAAACTAGTGCACTGTGGTGAACACATTTACGAACACACACTAGGAACACATTTACGAATTAGTTAAGGAGCAAAAAAATAACTGTCTAAAATTACACCTAGAAAAGAGTCCGACTTCCTCACATCATTGAAGTAACTGTCTTTTAATATGCACAAAAATGAGCTCAAAGAGCATCCTTTCACCTAGAGTAGCCACAGCTTTTAGACATTTCTTTTTATCAACATGACAATGCGATAATCACCAGCGGCCGTCGTGAACGGACGCGTCTCTGTAACGCTCCGAGTTTTTAATTCGAAAAGTGTGTGGTTCGGACGTTTTTCGAACTGATTCTAATATCAAGTTACTCGTCTTTGTCTCCTCTTCAAGACAATGTGTGAACTTTCCGCGATAGATATCTTTGCCTGAAGTTATCTTCGAGTTTTCTCAGTGATAAAAGACTTAGAGCCTAGTTTTTATCTGCTACATCGCGTAGTGCAACGTGCCTTCGCCGCACTATGGTCCCAATCCGCTCGGGAGCGCTCAAAAATCGATATTTATGAATTGGACAACATTTTTTTTTCGAGTCAAAATTTATAAATATAGTATCTACGGGTCATAAACTACACGTAGTATACCTCAAAAAAATTTCTAGTCACTTTGAAAGTGTTACAAACTGTGCGAATAGTCGGATATGTATTTTCTGACCCGTGAAGCGGCTATTTCTAACAAAGCGTTCGGAGCCTCTCCTGAATCATGAAATGGTCTCTCAGAATTCTTGCTTGCACCATTTTGTAGAGGACTCTAAGAGGATTGTAACGCACTAATTACAATTTTTCTCCGAGGCATTCTGATACATTCTACACAAGGTAGAAGTTGGGTACCTATTTTTCATGAAAAAATGCCGATTTTTCCCACGTACTTTCATTTTAAAAAAAAGTCACCAAAGGTCACCTAATGAGACACC